GACAGATGAATAATCAACTGAGGTGGGCAGAGTTATTTGGTCTCCACTTAATTTCCTTCCTCTGCCAGATCTGAAAGAAACAGGACATATTTCAAGAAGCGCCCAAACAAGCGTGAGGCATTTGAGGTGGTAGTTAACTCAGAAGGTGGGATTTTTCAGCTTTATATTATCGTTTTAAATGAGAACTGCCCAGAAAGCTGTAATGAAAAAGCATGACTCAGCAACCTTGTCAATGTTTCCAACATCTTGGGTAATGTAGCTGCTTCTCAGGTTAGGATTCAGAATTATAGACACAATTATAGGATTTGGGATGGATTGAAAGCCAAACACAAATGTAAGCCCCAACGAAGCCCTGTACTCCTCCAGTGCTCCGAATTCTGTAGGTAAAGCCCTACACTACTAACCAGGGAGGGTTGGTGATCCGTTCTATAGATTTCTTGGTAAAATTAAGTCTTCAACTATTTAAAACTTTGAAAATGGGAGGATGGAGAGATAGCTCAGTGGTTAAGAGTATTAAGTATTCTTCCAGAGGCCCTGGGTTCAATTCCTTGCACAAACATGGCAGCTCACAACTATCTGTAACTCCAAGATCTGACACCCTCACACAGACATACACGCAGGCAAAACACCAATCCACATCAAAATAAATAAATTTTATAAAAAGACAAGTTTGAAAATCAATTAGCCAAACTGAACCAATTGATTTCTAACAATCTGTAAGAAAATACTACATTAATCTGGATATAATATAATTCAATTGTTAACCTGAGCTATGGAATCTGTACTAACCAAGATTTTCAAAGTAATTTTACTGAGTTTAGTGAGGCTTACTCAATTTATCAGCTACAATATCCTCACCTGTAAACTGGACCCCCACACCTACATTTCTAATCTTCTTTTAATGGTGTAACTAAGAAACATATTTAAAGCCACTAGGACAGCATCAGCCACACAGCAAGACATGAACACCGGCACTTGTACAATCCAGTGATCTCTAACTCATTCCCTTAGAGCAAAAGGAGTTCTTTTGTGACAAACTCAGTTTTATTTTATTCACCTTTAAAGGATGAAAACACAAGTATTACAATCTATTACAACATTTATGCCAATAATGTAGTCCAGGTTTGTTTCGACACCTAAGGCAAGTTTGTCCTAATAAAGAGCTGGTTTTCTTTACAACTGAATGTACAGTCAGTCTTAAACCTATTGACACTGACAACAGACACTCACAGTGACAAAAAACAAAGCCCTTAAATCAAATACAGTTTCCTATTCTAACACTAACCTACAATGACTAGAGTTTCGGAAACAGCAGACACTCACACTCCGTGACGACCCCGTTCACCACACCTTTACCTCTGTCTGGGGTTAGCACTCACCCCCATCTTGCTCTCCCTAGTAAATTTCCAATCACTCTTCTTCATTCTCTGACTTGAGCACTTTCTTTTTCATCAGTTTTTACCCTCAAGAGAGATTAACGTCATCCACCCCTCCTTCCTTCCATTTGCTTCTCGACTTCTCATCTTCGGCGATCCTATCTTCTCCACAGCATTTCATCAACACGCTGGCATCTGAAGAGCTCAACCTGGCACTGTGTAACTTCACAATACCCACTGGAAAGAGAGCTCAAGTCCATTTACAGCCGCCTTTCCTCTACCTTACTTTAAATGAATCATCGCATCTCTCTGGAAAGACGTAGGCCAACAGACCTAAGAGTCTAACAGTCCCACTGACTGACAGCTGGTTTTGCGACGGAG